TGATCTCATCCCCTGTTAGCTACAGGAGTTACTGTCCCTGAGCTCCACTACACTGCTGATCTCATCCCCTGTTAGCTACAGGAGTTACTGTCCCTGAGCTCCACTACACTGCTGATCTCATCCCCTGTAAGTACAGGAGTTACTGTCCCTGAGCTCCACTACACTGCTGATCTCATCCCCTGTAGTACAGGAGTTACTGTCCCTGAGCTCCACTACACTGCTGATCTCACTGTGCCGCTCCCTGCTTAGCTACACGAGTAATTACTGTCCCTGAGCTCCACTACACTGCTGATCTCATCCCCTGTTAGCTACAGGAGTTACTGTCCCTGAGCTCCACTACATGCTGATCTCATCCCTGTTAGCTACAGGAGTTACTGTCCCTGAGCTCCACTACACTGCTGATCTCATCCCCTGTCAAGTACAGGAGTTACTGTCCCTGAGCTCCACTACACTGCTGATGTCACTGCGGCGGCAGGTGGCTTAGTGGTTAAGAGTGTTGTGCCAGTAACCGAAAGGTCGCTGGTTCTAATCCCCGAGCCGACTAGGTGAAAAATCTGTCGATGTGCCCTTGAGCAAGGCACTTAACCCTAATTGCTCCTGTAATTCGCTCTGGATTAGAGCATCTGCTAAAATGACTAATTATTTATTATCCCCTGTCATGTTTGTCTTGTCCAGGTGAAAGACGATGTCAGTTCTACAGAGCTGCTGTTGACAGCAGGCGAGGTGAAGTTTCAGAACGTGTGCTTCAGCTACACTGAGGGGTAGGTCATAAAAACATGTGTAGGTCATCTCTGATGTCATGAGAACGTGTAGGTCATCTCTGATGTCATGAGAACGTGTAGGTCATCTCTGATGTCATGACAATCTGTGTAGTTCATCTCTGATGTCACGAGAATGTGTAGCTCAGTTGGTAGAGCATGGCGTTTGCAACGCCAGGGTTGTGGGTTCGTTTCCCACGTGGGGGGGCCAGTATGAAAAATGTATGCACTCACTAACTGTAAGTCGCTCTGGATAAGAGCGTCTGCTAAATGACTAAAATGTAAGGAGAATGTGTAGTTCATCTCTGATGTCATGAGAATGTTTGTAGTTCATCTCTGATGTTATGGACATAGTCTCTCATAACAGACGATAGGTAAAAGTAACAGGTGGATAGTCGTGGGCGGAGCAGAACAGAGCTTGTCCTACAGCTAAGCATCACCCTGTCATTGGCCTTCACGTAGCAACTTAGATTCTCCAGTTGTAAAACTCTTGGCATTCAACTCATGACGTACTGTAATGTGTGTGTGCATCATAAGTACTTCATCAGATGAAGTAGGACTGTGTATCTGTGTTGCTGTCCTCAGGAATGTGATTCTCAGGGGCGTATCGTTCACTGTGATTGCCGGCCAGACTGTTGCTCTGGTAGGTTCAACACTTCAGATAGCCATTCCTTACTTACATAAACTAACATGTGCATAAAAACACATGACCTCCACTTTTCAGATACCCCACATTTTAACATCCACATGTCCTACGTGTGTCTGCAGGTGGGTCAGTCTGGTTCAGGTAAAAGCACTATCCTCCGTCTACTGTTTCGCTTTTACGACATCCAGGGAGGCTGCATCCGTATTGACGGACAGGACATATCCAAGGTGAGCAAACTCAATAGGGTCTATCTACGGTACCTACTCATTCCAGGGTTTTTCTTTATTTGTACTATTTTCTACATTGTAGAATAATAGTGAAGACATCAAAACTATGAAATAACACACATGGAATCATGTAGTAACCAAAAAAGTGTTAAACAAATCAAAATAGATTTTATATTTTAGATTCTTCAAAGTAGCCACCCTTTGCCTTGATGACAGCTTTGCACACTATTGGCATTCTCTCAACCAGCTTCATGAGGTAGTCACCTGGAATGCATTTCAATTAACAGGTGTGCCTTGTTAAAAGTTAATTTGTGGAATTTCTTTCCTTCTTAATGTGTTTGAGCCAATTAGTTGTGTTTTGACAAGGTAGGGGTGGTATACAGAAGATAGCCCTATTTGGTAAAAGACCAAGTCCATATTATGGCAAGAACAGCTCAAATAAGCAAAGAGAAATGACAGTCCATCATTACTTTAAGACATGAAGGTCAGTCAATCCGGAAAACTTCAAGAACTTTGACTCTAATGTATTGAATAGTAATTTAACTATAATAGTTGTACTGGTGTAATGGCTCATAGAAGAAGAAGAGACGAGTGATTACACACAGACTGCTGGGCTGGAGCGATGTTTCAGTGTCTCCTAACTATATGTTTCAGTGTCTCCTAACTATATGTTTCAGTGTCTCCTAACAATATGTTTCAGTGTCTCCTAACAATATGTTTCAGTGTCTCCTAACTATATGTTTCAGTGTCTCCTAACAATATGTTTCAGTGTCTCCTAACAATATGTTTCAGTGTCTCCTAATAATATGTTTCAGTGTCTCCTAACAATATGTTTCAGTGTCTCCTAACTATATGTTTGTCACACCCTGGTTCTGGGACTCATTATGTTGAGCCAGGGTGTGTGCAGTCTATGTGGTTTGGTTCTATGTTGGGTGTCAAAGTGTTGTAATTATGTTGATTAGTCATATGACTCCCAATCGGAGGTAACGAGTGTCAGCTGTCGGCTCGTTATCTCTGATTGGGAGCCATATTTATTCTGTATGTGTTCTTGTGGGCATTGTGGGTTATTGTTCCGTGTTTCAGTCGTTGTACTGTGGACTTCACGAGTCGTCTTTTGTTTTGTATTTTACGTGCTTTACTCTTATTAAAGTCATGTTCGTTCAACGCGCTGCGCTTTGGTCTCCTTCACTCCTAGACGATCGTGACAGAATAACCCACCAAAGAAAGACCAAGCAGCGCGTCCAGGAGCAGAGGGTCTGGACATGGGAGGAGGCGCCGGGTCAGGAGAGAACGTTGGTGGATGTCCTCCTCGGCTGGGGACATATTACCCAGGAGGAGGCCGTCCGGTACCGGAGGGCGATGAAGGGGGAGAACCTGGCAGGAGAGGAGCAGGGCCATCGTCGGAAGGACGGGAGGCAACCCCAAAAAGTTTTTGGGGGGGGCACATGGCTTGGGCGACTGAGCAGCAGGAGGCTGCCACAAGGCAGATTCAGAAGGCTACCAGGTTAAGGGGGCTGACGGAGGCAGAGAAGGGACGGATTCAGGAGGCTACCAGGTTAAGGGGGCGACTGGGAAAGGCAGGGAAGGAAGGTGTAGAGGCACGGCGAGAGGTACTGGGGTGTGTAACCAGTCCGGTCCGGCCCGTTCCTAATCCCGAGGTACAGCCAGTCGTGTGTGTCCCCAGTACGGTACGGCCTGTTCTGGCCCCTCGCACTAAGTGTACGGTGCGCGTCGCCAGCCCAGCCCGGCCTGTTCCTGAGCCTCATACGAAGCCTACGGTGCGCGTCGCCAGCCCAGCCCGGCCTGTTCCGGCCACTCGCACCAGGGATACGGTGCGCTTCGCCAGCCCGGCCCGGCCTGTTCCGGCCACTCGCACCAGGGATACGGTGCGCTTCGCCAGCCCGGCCCGGCCTGTTCCGGCCTCTCGCACCAGGGATACGGTGCGCGTCGCCAGCCCAGCCCGGCCTGTTCCTGCTCTCCGCACTAGGCCTTATGTGCGTCCCCAGGGCCAAGCATGCCCTGTTGCTGCTTCCCGCACTAGCCCTGAGATGCGTGTCCTCAGCCCGGTACCTCCAGTTCCGGCACCACGCATCAGGCCTACGGTGCGTCCCCAGGGCCAAGCATGCCCTGTTACTTCTCCCCGCACTAGCCCTGAGATGCGTGTCCTCAGCCCGGTACCTCCAGTTCCGGCACCACGCATCAGGCCTACGGTGCGCCTCAGACGGCCAGAGTCTGCCGTCTGCCCAACGGGGCCTGAACTGTCCGTCTGCCCAACGCCGTCTGAACTGCCCGTCTGCCCAACGGCGCCTGAACTGTCCGTCTGCCCAACGCCGTCTGAACTGCCCGTCTGCCCAACGGCGCCTGAACTGCCCGTCTGCCCAACGCCGTCTGAACGGTCCGTCTGCCCAACGCCGTCTGAACTGCCCGTCTGTACTGAGCCTGCAAAGCCGCCCGTCTGCCATGAGCCTTCAGAGCCGTCCGCCAGACCGGAGCCGCTAGAGCTCTCCGCCAGACAGGATCAGCCAGAGCCGTCCGCCAGACCGGATCAGCCAGAGCCTTCCGCCAGACAGGATCAGCCAGAGCCGTCCGCCAGACAGGATCAGCCAGAGCCTTCGGCCAGACAGGATCAGCCAGAGCCTTCCGCCAGACCGGATCAGCCAGAGCCTTCCGCCAGACAGGATCAGCCAGAGCCTTCGGCCAGACCGGATCAGCCAGATCCGTCGGCCAGCCATGAGCAGCCAGATCCGTCAGCCAGCCATGAGCAGCCAGATCCTTCAGCCAGCCATGAGCCGTTCAGCCAGGATCCGCCAGAGCCTTCCAGCCAGGATCCGCCAGAGCCAGCCAGCCAGGATCCGCCATTGAGTCAGGTGCTGCCCCTTATCCTGGTGCTGCCCCTTAGTCCGGTACTGCCCCTTAGTCCGGTGCTGCCCCTTAGTCCGGTGCTGCCCCTTAGTCCGGTGCTGCCCCTTAGTCCGGTGCTGCCCCTTAGTCCGGTGCTGCCTCTTAGTCCGGTGCTGCCCCTTAAACCGGTGGGGGTCATTTGGAGGAACCTACGTAAGCGGGTAGTGACGATGGTGGGGTGGTGGTCTAGGCCGGAGCCAGAACCGCCACCGAGGAGGTATGCCCGCCCAGCCCTCCCCTGTTTGGGGGTTTTGAGGCGCGGTCGCAGTCCGCGCCTTTAGGGGGGGGTACTGTCACACCCTGGTTCTGGGACTCATTATGTTGAGCCAGGGTGTGTGCAGTCTATGTGGTTTGGTTCTATGTTGGGTGTCAAAGTGTTGTAATTATGTTGATTAGTCATATGACTCCCAATCGGAGGTAACGAGTGTCAGCTGTCGGCTCGTTATCTCTGATTGGGAGCCATATTTATTCTGTATGTGTTCTTGTGGGCATTGTGGGTTATTGTTCCGTGTTTCAGTCGTTGTACTGTGGACTTCACGAGTCGTCTTTTGTTTTGTATTTTACGTGCTTTACTCTTATTAAAGTCATGTTCGTTCAACGCGCTGCGCTTTGGTCTCCTTCACTCCTAGACGATCGTGACAATGTTTCAGTGTCTCCTAACAATATGTTTCAGTGTCTCCTAACAATATGCTTCAGTGTCTCCTAACAATATGTTTCCGTGTCTCCTAACAATATGTTTCAGTGTCTCCTAACAATATGTTTCAGTGTCTCCTAACAATATGTTTCAGTGTCTCCTAACAATATGTTTCAGTGTCTCCTAACAATATGTTTCAGTGTCTCTCGGTGTCTGTCTCCTAACAATGTGTTTCAGTGTCTCTCGGTGTCTGTCTCCTAACCAAGTCAAGCTACCCCATGTGAATAAATCATTGAGAAAGGAAGGCTTGTAAATAATGAATAAATAACTTTTATTGTGATGTGTTGTCGTCGGCCTAAAGTAGTGCACTACACAGGGGATAGGGTGCCATTCTCTGGTCTAAAGTAGTGCACTACATAGGGGATAGGGTGCCATTCTCTGGTCTAAAGTAGTGCACTACATAGGGAATAGGGGGCCATTCTCTGGTCTAAAGTAGTGCACTACATAGGGGATAGGGTGCCATTCTCTGGTCTAAAGTAGTGCACTATATAGGGAATAGGGTGCCATTCTCTGGTCTAAAGTAGTGCACTACATAGGGAATAGGGGGCCATTCTCTGGTCTAAAGTAGTGCACTACATAGGGGATAGGGTGCCATTCTCTGGTCTAAAGTAGTGCACTACATAGGGGATAGGGTGCCATTCTCTGGTCTAAAGTAGTGCACTATATAGGGAATAGGGGGCCATTCTCTGGTCTAAAGTAGTGCACTACATAGGGGATAGGGTGCCATTCTCTGGTCTAAAGTAGTGCACTACATAGGGAATAGGGTGCCATTCTCTGATCTAAAGTAGTGCACTACACAGGGGATAGGGTGCCATTCTCTGGTCTAAAGTAGTGCACTATATAGGGAATAGGGTGCCATTCTCTGGTCTAAAGTAGTGCACTATATAGGGAATAGGGTGCCATTCTCTGGTCTAAAGTAGTGCACTATATAGGGAATAGGGTGCCATTCTCTGGTCTAAAGTAGTGCACTACATAGGGGATAGGGTGCCATTCTCTGGTCTAAAGTAGTGCACTACATAGGGGATAGGTTGCCATTCTCTGGTCTAAAGTAGTGCACTATATAGGGAATAGGGTGCCATTCTCTGGTCTAAAGTAGTGCACTATATAGGGAATAGGGTGCCATTCTCTGGTCTAAAGTAGTGCACTATATAGGGAATAGGGTGCTATTCTCTGGTCTAAAGTAGTGCATTACATAGGGGATAGGGTGCCATTCTCTGGTCTAAAGTAGTGCACTACATAGGGGATAGGGGGCCATTTGGGACGCAGCCCAGAGTGGTTCTGGATGGGTTTACCTCCGTTAGTGAGGATTATGTAATTAGCTATACTAAGGTCTCTGTGGTTTTTCCTTCACCATATGTATTGCTCCACTTGTAAATGGATCCTTCTCCATCGCTCTCCCATCTTAAAGATTGGCCTGTTTTGATAGTGGACTGAAATAGAATTTAGCCGGGAGTCAGTGGGAATCAGTAATTCTGTGTGTTGGCAGGATTGTGATGTTAGTGATGGTAAGGATGGACCTGTGAGGAGCTGAAATTGTGTGTGTGTATGTGTTCCTACCTTATCAGGACCATAATGTCCTGACAAGTCACCAGTGTGTGTGTGTGTACGTGTGTGCGTGTGTGCGTGTGTGTGTGTGTGTGTGTGTGTGTGTGTGTGTGTGTGTGTGTGTGTGTGTGTGTGTGTGTGTGTGTGTGTGAGAGAGAGGGAACCTGAAGGAAACAGTCAGTAGTATATCCCTACTCATTTCCATTTACATTTACATTTACGTCATTTAGCAGACGCTCTTATCCAGAGCGACTTACAAATTGATGCATTCACCTTGTAGCCAGTGGGATAACCACTTTACAATTATTATTATTATTATTATAGATTTTTTTGGGGGGGTGGGGTGGGGTAAGGGGGGGGTAGAAGGATTACTTTATCCTATCCCAGGTATTCCTTAAAGAGGTGGGGTTTCAAGTGTCTCCGGAAGGTGGTGAGTGACTCCGCTGTCCTGGCGTCGTGAGGGAGCTTGTTCCACCATTGGGGTGCCAGAGCAGCGAACAGTTTTGACTGGGCTGAGCAGGAACTGTGCTTCAGCAGAGGTAGGGGAGCCAGCAGGCCAGAGGTGGATGAACGCAATGCCCTCGTTTGGGTGTAGGGACTGATCAGAGCCTGAAGGTACGGAGGTGCCGTTCCCCTCACAGCTCCGTAGGCAAGCACCATGGTCTTGTAGCAGATGCGAGCTTCAACTGGAAGCGTCTCCCGAGTGGCGCAGTGGTCTAAGGCACTCCATCACAGTGCTAGCTGTCCCACTAGAGATCCTGGTTCGTATCCAGGCTCTGTCGTAGCCGACCGCGACCGGGAGACCCATGGGGCGTTCAGGGATCAGCTGACCTGTCCCCTGAGTTATGGGACCCACCTTGACAGACAAGTAGTTCTACTGATGTCATTTCAACCACCCGCTGGGTAATGTCGTTTTGTAGTAATTGTCCCCTGGCTATAGGTGACCCAGATCTCTCTCTGTAATCCTAACCTGTACCATCCCTGGCTATAGGTGACCCAGATCTCTCTCTGTAATCCTAACCTGTCCCATCCCTGGCTATAGGTGACCCAGATCTCTCTCTGTAATACTAACCTGTACCATCCCTGGCTATAGGTGACCCAGACCTCTCTCTGTAATCCTAACCTGTACCATCCCTGGCTATAGGTGACCCAGACCTCTCTCTGTAATCCTAACCTGTACCATCCCTGGCTATAGGTGACCCAGACCTCTCTCTGTAATCCTAACCTGTACCATCCATGGCTATAGGTGACCCAGACCTCTCTCTGTAATCCTAACCTGTCCCATCCCTGGCTATAGGTGACCCAGACCTCTCTCTGTAATCCTAACCTGTACCATCCCTGGCTATAGGTGACCCAGACCTCTCTCTGTAATCCTAACCTGTCCCATCCCTGGCTGTAGGTGACCCAGACCTCTCTCTGTAATCCTAACCTGTCCCATCCCTGGCTATAGGTGACCCAGATCTCTCTCTGTAATACTAACCTGTACCATCCCTGGCTATAGGTGACCCAGACCTCTCTCTGTGATCCTAACCTGTCCCATCCCTGGCTATAGGTGACCCAGACATCTCTCTGTAATCCTAACCTGTCCCATCCCTGGCTATAGGTGACCCAGATCTCTCTCTGTAATCCTAACCTGTACCATCCCTGGCTATAGGTGACCCGCTATAGGTGACCCAGATCTCTCTCTGTAATACTAACCTGTCCCATCCCTGGCTATAGGTGACCCAGACCTCTCTCTGTAATCCTAACCTGTACCATCCCTGGCTATAGGTGACCCAGACCTCTCTCTGTAATCCTAACCTGTCCCATCCCTGGCTATAGGTGACCCAGATCTCTCTCTGTAATCCTAACCTGTACCATCCCTGGCTATAGGTGACCCAGATCTCTCTCTGTGATCCTAACCTGTCCCATCCCTGGCTATAGGTGACCCAGACCTCTCTCTGTAATACTAACCTGTCCCATCCCTGGCTATAGGTGACCCAGACCTCTCTCTGTAATCCTAACCTGTCCCATCCCTGGCTATAGGTGACCCAGACCTCTCTCTGTAATCCTAACCTGTCCCATCCCTGGCTATAGGTGACCCAGATCTCTCTCTGTAATCCTAACCTGTACCATCCCTGGCTATAGGTGACCCAGATCTCTCTCTGTAATCCTAACCTGTACCATCCCTGGCTATAGGTGACCCAGACCTCTCTCTGTAATCCTAACCTGTCCCATCCCTGGCTATAGGTGACCCAGATCTCTCTCTGTAATCCTAACCTGTACCATCCCTGGCTATAGGTGACCCAGACCTCTCTCTGTAATCCTAACCTGTCCCATCCCTGGCTATAGGTGACCCAGATCTCTCTCTGTAATCCTAACCTGTACCATCCCTGGCTATAGGTGACCCAGATCTCTCTCTGTGATCCTAACCTGTCCCATCCCTGGCTATAGGTGACCCAGACCTCTCTCTGTAATCCTAACCTGTCCCATCCCTGGCTATATGTGACCCAGACATCTCTCTGTAATCCTAACCTGTCCCATCCCTGGCTATAGGTGACCCAGATCTCTCTCTGTAATCCTAACCTGTACCATCCCTGGCTATAGGTGACCCAGACCTCTCTCTGTAATACTAACCTGTCCCATCCCTGGCTATAGGTGACCCAGATCTCTCTCTGTAATACTAACCTGTCCCATCCCTGGCTATAGGTGACCCAGACCTCTCTCTGTAATCCTAACCTGTACCATCCCTGGCTATAGGTGACCCAGACCTCTCTGTAATCCTAACCTGTCCCATCCCTGGCTATAGGTGACCCAGATCTCTCTCTGTAATCCTAACCTGTACCATCCCTGGCTATAGGTGACCCAGACCTCTCTCTGTAATCCTAACCTGTCCCATCCCTGGCTATAGGTGACCCAGATCTCTCTCTGTAATCCTAACCTGTACCATCCCTGGCTATAGGTGACCCAGACCTCTCTCTGTAATCCTAACCTGTCCCATCCCTGGCTATAGGTGACCCAGATCTCTCTCTGTAATACTAACCTGTCCCATCCCTGGCTATAGGTGACCCAGATCTCTCTCTGTAATCCTAACCTGTACCATCCCTGGCTATAGGTGACCCAGACCTCTCTCTGTAATCCTAACCTGTCCCATCCCTGGCTATAGGTGACCCAGATCTCTCTCTGTAATCCTAACCTGTACCATCCCTGGCTATAGGTGACCCAGACCTCTCTCTGTAATCCTAACCTGTCCCATCCCTGGCTATAGGTGACCCAGATCTCTCTCTGTAATCCTAACCTGTACCATCCCTGGCTATAGGTGACCCAGACCTCTCTCTGTAATCCTAACCTGTCCCATCCCTGGCTATAGGTGACCCAGATCTCTCTCTGTAATCCTAACCTGTACCATCCCTGGCTATAGGTGACCCAGATCTCTCTCTGTGATCCTAACCTGTACCATCCCTGGCTATAGGTGACCCAGACCTCTCTCTGTAATCCTAACCTGTCCCATCCCTGGCTATAGGTGACCCAGATCTCTCTCTGTAATCCTAACCTGTACCATCCCTGGCTATAGGTGACCCAGACCTCTCTCTGTAATCCTAACCTGTCCCATCCCTGGCTATAGGTGACCCAGATCTCTCTCTGTAATCCTAACCTGTACCATCCCTGGCTATAGGTGACCCAGACTTCTCTCTGTAATCCTAACCTGTCCCATCCCTGGCTATAGGTGACCCAGATCTCTCTCTGTAATCCTAACCTGTACCATCCCTGGCTATAGGTGACCCAGATCTCTCTCTGTGATCCTAACCTGTCCCATCCCTGGCTATAGGTGACCCAGACCTCTCTCTGTAATCCTAACCTGTACCATCCCTGGCTATAGGTGACCCAGATCTCTCTCTGTAATCCTAACCTGTACCATCCCTGGCTATAGGTGACCCAGACCTCTCTCTGTAATCCTAACCTGTCCCATCCCTGGCTATAGGTGACCCAGATCTCTCTCTGTAATCCTAACCTGTACCATCCCTGGCTATAGGTGACCCAGACCTCTCTCTGTAATCCTAACCTGTCCCATCCCTGGCTATAGGTGACCCAGATCTCTCTCTGTAATCCTAACCTGTACCATCCCTGGCTATAGGTGACCCAGATCTCTCTCTGTGATCCTAACCTGTCCCATCCCTGGCTATAGGTGACCCAGACCTCTCTCTGTAATCCTAACCTGTACCATCCCTGGCTATAGGTGACCCAGACCTCTCTCTGTGATCCTAACCTGTCCCATCCCTGGCTATAGGTGACCCAGATCTCTCTCTGTAATACTAACCTGTCCCATCCCTGGCTATAGGTGACCCAGATCTCTCTCTGTAATCCTAACCTGTCCCATCCCTGGCTATAGGTGACCCAGATCTCTCTCTGTAATCCTAACCTGTCCCATCCCTGGCTATAGGTGACCCAGATCTCTCTCTGTAATACTAACCTGTCCCATCCCTGGCTATAGGTGACCCAGATCTCTCTCTGTAATCCTAACCTGTCCCATCCCTGGCTATAGGTGACCCAGACCTCTCTCTGTAATCCTAACCTGTCCCATCCCTGGCTATAGGTGACCCAGACCTCTCTCTGTAATCCTAACCTGTCCCATCCCTGGCTATAGGTGACCCAGACCTCTCTCCGCTCCTACATTGGTGTGGTTCCTCAGGACACGGTGCTCTTCAATGACAGCATAAGAAACAACATCCGCTACGGACGCATTGGCGCTAGCGACCAGGAGGTGGAGGAGGCTGCCCTCGCTGCGGACATACACTACAAGATCCTGTCACTGCCCGAGGGTGAGGATGAAGATGATGAAGAAGAAGATGATGATGATAATGAATATGAGGAGGAGGATGATTTGTGTTGTGTTGCTCTCCACAGGGTATGAGACCCAGGTGGGAGAGAGGGGACTGAAGCTGAGTGGAGGAGAGAAACAGAGAGTAGCCATCGCCCGTACCATCCTGAAGGACCCTCGGATCATCCTGCTGGATGAGGTCAGAGATAGGGGGGATCGGGAAGAGGGCAGGTGGGAGGAGGGCAGAGCAAGGGGGGATCGGGAGAAGGGCAGGGGGGAAGAGGACAGGTGGGATGGGAGGAAGGCAGGGGGGAAGAGGACAGGTGGGATGGGAGAAGGGCAGGGGGGAAGAGGACAGGTGGGATTGGGAGAAGGGCAGGGGGGAAGAGGACAGGTGGGATGGGAGGAAGGCAGGGGGGAAGAGGACAGGTGGGATGGGAGAAGGGCAGGGGGGAAGAGGACAGGTGGGATTGGGAGAAGGGCAGGGGGAAGAGGACAGGTGGATGGGAGAAGGGCAGGGGGGAAGAGGACAGGTGGGATGGGAGGAAGGCAGGGGGGAAGAGGACAGGTGGGATGGGAGGAAGGCAGGGGGGAAGAGGACAGGTGGGATGGGAGGAAGGCAGGGGGGAAGAGGACAGGTGGGATGGGAGGAAGGCAGGGGGGAAGAGGACAGGTGGGATGGGAGGAAGGCAGGGGGGAAGAGGACAGGTGGGATGGGAGGAAGGCAGGGGGGAAGAGGACAGGTGGGATGGGAGGAAGGCAGGGGGGAAGAGGACAGGTGGGATGGGAGGAAGGCAGGGGTGGAGAGGACAGGTGGGATGGGAGGAAGGCAGGGGTGGGAGGACAGGTGGGATGGGAGGAAGGCAGGGGTGGAGAGGACAGGTGGGATGGGAGGAAGGCAGGGGGGAAGAGGACAGGTGGGATGGGAGGAAGGCAGGGGGGAAGAGGACAGGTGGGATGGGAGGAAGGCAGGGGGGAAGAGGACAGGTGGGGATGGGAGGAAGGCAGGGGGGAAGAGGACAGGTGGGATGGGAGGAAGGCAGGGGGGAAGAGGACAGGTGGGATGGGAGGAAGGCAGGGGGGAAGAGGACAGGTGGGATGGGAGGAAGGCAGGGGGGAAGAGGACAGGTGGGATGGGAGGAAGGCAGGGGGGAAGAGGACAGGTGGGATTGGGAGGAAGGCAGGGGGGAAGAGGACAGGTGGGATGGGAGGAAGGCAGGGGTGGGATGGGAGGAAGGCAGGGGTGGGAGGCACGTCAGGGACCATGTGTGTATAAAACCCTCCTAGACTCTGTCAAACAGGTCCTCAACCTAGCGTGACTTTATTGCTTTGTTGCATGTAGAATGGGCCTTTGAGCTGGATATGAACAAGGTGTGTTCTGAAGTTTCTGTTCAAATGCAGTCAAACCTTGCTGGTTGGGAAAAACAATAGGAGTTACAGTCTGGAAGACTTCATATCATAACTTTTTATTTTATTCTCATGTTGGTCCCATGTTATTCTGCTCTATGCTATAGGATACGTACTACCCCTCTGTCTATAGGATACGTACTACCCCCCTCTCTCTCTCTCTCTCTCTCTCTCCTCTCTCTCTCTCTCTCTCTCTCTCTCTCTCTCTCTCGCTCTCTCTCTCTCTCTCTCTCTCTCTCTCTCTCTCGCTCTGTCTCTCTCGTGCTCTCTCTCTCTCTCTCTACAGGCTACATGCTAACCCTCTCTCTCTCTCGCTCTGTCTCTCTCGTGCTCTCTCTCTCTCTCTCTTTACAGGCTACATGCTAACCCTCTCTCTCTCTCTCTCTGCAGGCTACATGCTAACCCTCTCTCTCTCTCTCTCTCTGCAGGCTACGTCAGCCCTGGACACACAGACAGAACGCAACATCCAGGCCTCACTCTCCAAAGTCTGTACCAACAGGACCACTATAGTAGTAACACACAGGTAATGCTTTCAGAAGAGCCAGTTAATCATCAGCTGCTCTGAAGTCAACAGGTTTAATCCTTCCTCTCCCTCAATGTGTCTCCCAGCCGTCTACGTGTTTACAGTGACCTAATGTCACATACTACAATCAACCCCTAACACTGTGTTGATAGGATGTGTGTCTAGGCTTGGGACGACAACAAAGAGAGAAGGGATCTCTGCTTCATATGCCTTTGTATCTCAGCATGCGTCCCAAATGGCACCCTATTGTAGATAGTGCACTACTTTTGACCAGAGAGATACAGGGCTCTGGTCAAAAGTAGTGCACTATAAAGGGAATAGGGTTCCATTTGGGACGTAGTGTCAGTCTCAAGGGCATGAAAACATAAAGAGTGCCAGACAGACAGACATCCTTTGGCCAGCTGCCTCAGCTCTAAAATCCCCTGATCTTGTCCTTCAGATAACAACATCTATTGATGAGGGATTCAAATGGGGCCATCTGGGCAAGATCGTGATCAGACGATCATTAAATCACATTGATCAGTGTCTGTGTCCTACATCCTCAAAGTTACTGCTGTTGGTTAAGGAGTATATTGTCCTATGGGCTCTGGCCAAAAGTAGTGCACTATATAGTGAATAGGGTGCCATTCTCTGGTCTAAAGTAGTGCACTATATAGGGAATAGGGGGCCATTTGGGACGCAGCCTGGGTGGAAACAAGGATATTCATATCTTTGACCGAAATCTAGATTCAAAATTGAAGAAAAGTTTATAGCACCACTAGCGTCTAATACCGTTAAGTCTTCCACTAGCATCTATTTCCGTTAAGATTATAGCACCACTAGCATCTAATACCGTTAAGATTATAGCACCACTAGCATCTAATACCGTTGTCTTCGGCTAGCATCTAATACTGTTAAGTATTCCACTAGCATCTAATACCGTTAAGATTATAGCACCACTAGCATCTAATAACGTTAAGATGGTAGCGCCACTAGCATCTAATACCGTTAAGTCTTCCACTAGCTTCTAATACCGTTAAGATTATAGCACCACTAGCATCTAATACCGTTAAGATGATAGCACCACTAGCATCTAATACTGTTAAGTCTTCCACTAGCATCTAATACCGTTAAGTCTTCCACTAGCATCTAATACCGTTAAGTCTTCCACTAGCATCTAATACCCATTAAGTCTTCCAACGTAGTAGTGCATTAATATTTGACACTAATTCCTTCTGGTTCACCCAGAGTGTGTTCCTGAATACCCCTGGTCTGGTCTGCTAGCTAGCTGCTCCGCTCTGACAGGAAACGGTCTGCTAGCTATCTGCTCTGACAGGAAACGGTCTGCAAGCTAGCTGCTCCGCTCTGACAGGAAACGATCTGCTAGTTAGCTGCTCCACTCTGACAGGAAATGGTCTGCAAGCTAGCTGCTCCGCTCTGACAGGAAACGGTCTGCTAGCTAGCTACTCCGCTCTGACAGGAAACAGTCTACTAGCTAGCTATTTGCTCTGACAGGAAACGGTCTGCTAGCTATCTGCTCTGCTCTGACAGGAAATGGTCTGTTAGCTAGCTGCTCCGTTCCGAAGGTAAAGGTCTGCTAGCTACCCTTACGAAAAAATATTGCAGTCAGTGTGCAGTATAACTACAGTATGCTGCAAATACTGCGTCCAAAATAACACAGTTTTTTTACTGCAGTAATTTTGCAGTATAACTGCAGTTCAACTGCAGTACACATCAGTTATTCTGCAATTACTGCGTCCAAAATACCACAGTCGACTGCAGTTACTGAACTTTTACTGCAGTTTCAAAACTGTCATCTTTTTTTGTAAGGGTAGCTGCTCTGACAGGAAACGGTCTGCTAGCTAGCTGCTCTGACGGACATGGTCTACTAGCTAGCTGCTCTGACAGGAAACAATCTGCTAGCTAGGTGCTTTGACAGGAAACAGTCTGCTAGCTAGCTGCTCTGACAGGAAACTGTCTGCTAGGTGGGGTGCTCCAACAGGAAATGGTCTGCTAGCTAGCTGCTCCACTCCAATAGGAAACGATCTGCTAAATAGTTGCTCCGCTACGACAGGAAACTGTCTGCTAGCTAGCTGCTATGCTCCGACAGGAAACAGTCTGCTAGCTAGCTGCTCTGCTCCGACAGGAAACGGTCTGCTCTGACGGGAAACGGTCTGCTAGCTAGCTTCTCTGACAGGAAATGGTCTGCTAGCTAGCTGCTCTGACAATAAATTGTATGCTAGGTGGGGTGGGGGCAGTGGTGGAAAAGTACCCAATTGTTAAACTTAAGTAAAAGTAAAGATACCTTAATAGAAAATGACTAAAGTAAAAGTGAAAGTCACCCAGTAAAAGGTCTGCTAGCTACCCTTACGAAAAAAGATTGCAGTTATTCTGCAATTACTGCGTCCAAAATACCACAGTCGACTGCAGTTACTGCACTTTTACTGCAGTTTCAACTGTCATCCTTTTTTGTAAGGGTAGCAGCTCTGAGAGAAAACGGTCTGCTAGCTTGCTGCTCTGACAGGAAACGGTCTGCTAGGTAGCTGCTCTGACAGGACACGGTATGCTAGGTAGCTGCTCTGACATGAAACGGTCTGCTAGCTAGCTGCTCCGCTCCGACAGGTAACGGTCTGCTAGCTAGCTGCTTTGACAGGAAATGGTCTGCCAGGTAGCTGCTCTGACAGGACACGGTCTGCTAGCTAGCTGCTCTGACAGGAAACGGTCTGCAAGCTAGTTGCAATCAACCTGCTATCTGCCAATCACGGGAATGCCTGGAATGTTCTGATGCCGGGCATCCTGGCGGTTGGCGGAGTGGCGTGGAGGGGGGTTGGGCAGGGGGATGGAGCATTGGAAGTTAAGACCAGGTTTAGCCTTTGTTCTCTCTCTTTTTTACGTCTGGGCTTCACAAGAGAAGGTCGCGATTGGCTTGTGGGTTATCTTTCATTTATTTGGCGTGGGCTACGGCCAAACAGTAGCCTGTGTAAAGTTGGTTTAATAAACCGTCCATTCGTAAACTCAATCCTCTGTCTGGACAGTTGTTATTTTATGATCTAGTCAGGTCATTACAGTATGCTGCAAATACTGCCTCCAAAATAATTATGTTTTTTTTACTGCAGTAATTTTGCAGTATAACTGCAGTTCAACTGCAGTACACTGCAGTTATTCTGCAATTACTGCGTCCAAAATACCACAGTCGACTGCACTTACTGCACTTTTACTGCAGTTTCAACTGTCATCTTTTTTTGTAAGGGTAGCAGCTCTGACAGGACACGGTATGCTAGGTAGCTGCTCCGACATGAAACGGTCTGCTAGCTAGCTGCTCCGCTCCGTCAGGTAACGGTCTGCTAGCTAGCTGCTTTGACAGAAAATGGTCTGCTAGCTAGCTGCTCCGCTCCGACAGTTAACAGTCTGCTAGCTAGCTGCTTTGACAGGAAATGGTCTGCTAGGTAGCTGCTCTGACAGGACACGGTCTGCTAGCTAGCTGCTCTGACAGGAAACGGTCTGCAAGCTAGTTGCTCCGACATGAAACGGTCTGCTAGCTAGCTGCTCCGCTCCAACAGGAAATGGTCTGCTAGCTAGTTGCTCCGCTCCGACAGGAAACAGTCTGCTAAATAGCTGCTCCGCTCAGACAGGAAACGGTCTGCTAGCTAGCATCTACGCTCCGACAGGAAACGGTCTGCTAGCTAGCTGTTCCGCTCTGACAGGAAACGGTCTGCTAGCTAGCTGTAACGGTCTGACAGGAAACGGTCTACTAGCTAGCTGCTCCACTCTGACAGGAAACGGTCTACTAGCTAGCTGCTCCACTCTGACAGGAAATGGTCTGCTAGCTAGCTGTTCTGCTCTGAAAAGAAACGGTCTGCTAGGTGGGGTGGGGGCAGTGGTGGAAAAAGTACCCAATTGTTAAACTTAAGTAAAAATAAAGATACCATAATAGAAAATTACTAAAGTAAAAGTCACCCAGTAAAAGGTCTGCTAGCTACCCATACGAAAAAAGATTGCAGTCAGAGAGCAGTATAACTATAGTATTGTAGCGACCCGCACAGACAGCTGTGTGTTATGTGTTAGGCTAGTAGATGGTTGTGTTGTACCTACCAGTACCCAGTGTTCGCGGGGTCCGACATGTCAATCAACCTGCTATCTGCCAATCACGGGAATGCCTGGAATGTTCTGATGCCGGGCATCCTGGCGGTTGGCGGAGTGGCGTGGAGGGGGGTTGGGCAGGGGGATGGAGCATTGGAAGTTAAGACCAGGTTTAGCCTTTGTTCTCTCTCTTTTTTACGTCTGGGCTTCACAAGAGAAGGTCGCGATTGGCTTGTGGGTTATCTTTCATTTATTTGGCGTGGGCTACGGCCAAACAGTAGCCTGTGTAAAGTTGGTTTAATAAACCGTCCATTCGTAAACTCAATCCTCTGTCTGGACAGTTGTTCTTTTATGATCTAGTCAGGTCATTACAGTATGCTGCAAATACTGCCTCCAAAATAATTATGTTTTTTTTACTGCAGTAATTTTGCAGTATAACTGCAGTTCAACTGCAGTACACTGCAGTTATTCTGCAATTACTGCGTCCAAAATACCACAGTCGACTGCACTTACTGCACTTTTACTGCAGTTTCAACTGTCATCTTTTTTTGTAAGGGTAGCAGCTCTGACAGGACACGGTATGCTAGGTAGCTGCTCCGACATGAAACGGTCTGCTAGCTAGCTGCTCCGCTCCGACAGGTAACGGTCTGCTAGCTAGCTGCTTTGACAGAAAATGGTCTGCTAGCTAGCTGCTCCGCTCCGACAGTTAACAGTCTGCTAGCTAGCTGCTTTGACAGGAAATGGTCTGCTAGGTAGCTGCTCTGACAGGACACGGTCTGCTAGCTAGTTGCTCTGACAGGAAACGGTCTGCTAGCTAGCTGTTCCGCTCCGACATGAAACGGTCTGCTAGCTAGCTGTTCTGCTCTGACAGGAAATGGTCTGCTAGCTAGCTGTAACAGTCCAACAGGAAACAGTCTACTAGCTAGCTGCTCCACTCTGACAGGACACGGTCTGCTAGCTAGTTGCTCTGACAGGAAACGGTCTGCTAGCTAGCTGTTCCGCTCCGACATGAAACGGTCTGCTAGCTAGCTGTTCCGCTCTGACAGGAAATGGTCTGCTAGCTAGCTGTAACAGTCCAACAGGAAACGGTCTACTAGCTAGCTGCTCCACTCTGACAGGACACGGTCTGCTAGCTAGTTGCTCTGACAGGAAACGGTCTGCTAGCTAGCTGTTCCGCTCCGACATGAAACGGTCTGCTAGCTAGCTGCTCCGCTCCGACAGGTAACGGTCTGCTAGCTAGCTGCTTTGACAGAAAATGGTCTGCTAGCTAGCTGCTCCGCTCCGACAGTTAACAGTTTGCTAGCTAGCTGCTTTGACAGGAAATGGTCTGCTAGGTAGCTGCTCTGACAGGACACGGTCTGCTAGCTAGTTGCTCTGACAGGAAACGGTCTGCTAGCTAGCTGCTCCGCTCCAACAGGAAATGGTCTGCTAGCTAGCATCTACGCTCCGACAGGAAACGGTCTGCTAGCTAGCTGTTCCGCTCTGACAGGAAACGGTCTGCTAGCTAGCTGTAACGGTCCGACAGGAAACGGTCTACTAGCTAGCTGCTCCGCTCGAACAGGAAACGGTCTGCTAGCTAGGTGTTCCGCTCTGATAGAAAACGGTCTGCTAGCTAGCTGCTCCACTCTGACAGGAAACGGTCTGCTAGCTAGCTGCTCTGCTCCGACAGGAAACGGTCTGCTAGCTAGCTGCTCTGCTTCGACAGGACAGGGTCTGCTAGCTAGCTGCTCTGACAGGAAACGGTCTGCTAGCTAGGTGTTCCGCTCTGATAGAAAACGGTCTGCTAGCTAGCTGCTCCACTCTGACAGGAAACGGTCTGCTAGCTAGGGTTGGGAGACGGGGAAAGACGGTGAAAGACCTGGAGAATAAACCCTCCTCCTCACAGCTGCCCATGTCCCTTAATGTTGATGATGTGGTTGTTACTGACAAGGAGCACATGGCTGAGCTCTTTAATCACCACTTCATTAAGTCAGGATTCCTATTTGACTCAGCCACGCCTCCTTGCCCGTCCAACATTTCCTCATCTCCCACCCCTTCTAATGCGACTAGCCCTGATGCTCCTCCCTCTTTTTCCCCTGCCCCGCTACAAAGTTTCTCCCTGCAGGCGGTCACTGAGTCCGAGGTGCTAAAGGAGATCCTTAAACTGACCCCAAAAAACCATCTGGGTCAGATGGTTTAGACCCTTTCTTCTTTAAGGTTGCTGCTAAGCCTGTCTCTCCTCTCTGGGGAGGTTCCCGTTGCTTGGAAGGCAGCCACGGTGCGTCCTTTATTTAAGCCAATTTCTATCTTGCCCTGTTTATCAAAAGTGTTGGAAAATCTTGTCAATAATCAACTGACTGGCTTTCTTGATGTCTATACTATTCTCTCTGGTATGCAATCTGGTTTCCTCTCAGGTTATGGATGTGTCACTGCAACCTTAAAGGTCCTAAATGATGTCACCATTGCCCTTGATTCTAAGCAATGTTGTGCTGCTATTTTTATTGACTTGGCCAAAGCTTTTGATACCGTAGACCATTCCATTCTTGTGGGCCGGCTAAGGAGTATTAGTGTCTCTGAGGGGTCTTTGGCCTGGTTTGCTAACTACCTCTCTCAAAGAGTGCAGTGTGTAAAGTCAGAACATCTGCTGTCTCAGCCACTGCCTGTCACCAAGGGAGTACCCCAAGGCTCCATCCTAGGCCCCACGCTCTTCTCAATTTACATCAACAACACAGCTCAGGCAGTAGGAAGCTCTCTCATCCATTTATATGCAGATGATACAGTCTTATACTCACCTGGCCCCTCCCCGGATTTTGTGTTAAACACTTTCTCAACAAAGCTTTCTTAGTGTCCAACAAGCTTTCTCTGCCCTTAACCTTGTTCTGAACACCTCCAAAACAAAGGTCATGTGGTTTGGTAAGAAGAATGCCCCCCCCCCTCTCCCCACCGGTGTGATTACTACCTCTGAGGGTTTAGAGCTTGAGGTAGTCACCT